TTATATTAAATCATATTATCGAAGGAATCGGGATTTGAAACATTTGCAGAAAAGGCAATATATAATAGGTCGAATTAACGTTCATGCACGAAACCGAAATGCGAATGATTAATATGAGACACAAATATTAAACAATGAGCTGTTGATTGTTGAAACAATGAGCTTTTTGATATTATAAATGAGTTTTGGTTGGTCATGAACTCATGAAAGGCGCAACACGTTTTAACCCCTGTGCAGATACGGATTTATTCTGATGACTGACATTAATAATACATTAGTATTAAAATGCAAATGATTACTTACCCTCGAGTGCCCATTCGCATGCCTCGCTTTCCGCCATGTTGATCGTGCTGAACTACATTAATCACCAGGCCGTCTGAGCGCCTAATCGGCCATGTGTCGCGAATTTATCATAATGATAAATTCGGACGTGTTTAAGAATTTACTCATATAGTAAATTCAAAGGTGGAGCTCATGTTGGTTATTATTTCACCCGATTAGCACGTTTGACGCCAGCTGACAGCCGGAAATTTTGTCTCAGATTGCTTGGCTGCCAGCCGGGCTGTACTATAGTATACTATTCGTTCAAAAAATGTGTGCATTTCGGAGACTGGTTCTAGAATGTTTATAGAAAGCAGAAAACCACCAAAATTACATTAAATTTTCCAAAAATCATCGAAATGCATCTAAATTCATCTTCCCAATCCATACGGCTAGCTATGCGACAGGTAAATAAACAAGAAAAAAAAATTACAGGAAAGAGAAAATTGAGAATTATTCGCGCTCACTCTGAGATTCGATCTCGCGACCCTCGACATACACGCCGAGTGTTGTTCCCCTGCACCACCATGTCTTACATGGAAAATATGTTAATTTATTGTATATATAGAGGTTACTCTTAGCCAGCACGATTTATGATTGCGTAAATACGTACACCATTGTACACAGCCAAGGGTACAGTACCAGCGGACCCGTATCTACTCTACTTAGTACAATATTTACAATACATCACGGCATAGATCACGGCTACCAGCCAGGGTTATTTAACTGTAATACAATACTACAATGCAATACGAGTGTCAGCCGAGCCTGTCGGTAGTATACTACAATACAATCACGGCTACCAGCCAGCAATACAGCTATCAGCCGGGCGTGTCTGTAGTATACTATACTATTCTACCTATAGTGTACTACAAAACATCACGGCTACCAGCCGGGGTTATTTAACTATAATACAATACTACAATGCAATACGACTGTCAGCCATGCCTGTAAGTAGTATACTGTAGTATACTACAATACATCACGGCTACCAGCCGACCATACCGGCTATCAGCCGGGCCTGTCTGTACTAGGGCAAGGGTACTAATTCCGACCGGCTATTTACACCCGGAGAAAGGAAAGCATTAGCGAAGTCTAAAGTTCATCAATTATCGTGGGCGTGTGACTATGGTTCATGGGTGGACCTCCTCACTGATCTCAAAAATATGGCTGTTTGGTAGGAGTGGGATAAGCAAGATTTCAATTTTCAAAAGCATATATTTGGAAAATCACATTTCACACAATGACCTTTGAAGCAATTTTTGTTTGAAGAAATGAGAAGAATTGATTTACTATGGGAATCGTGAAATATAGTGCAAGTATGTTTATATAGTGCAAGCATGTTTATATAGTGCAAGCATGTTTAATGTTTATGAATGTTGTTGCTTTTAATAATTTCTTGCGTATTAAAAGTACATGCAGCTTTCCTTTTCAGTCAAGCTGTAAGTTTCCTAAATTACGCTGTTTAATTAATTTAAGAAAAAAAGGTAAAATGTAAAGGAGAGCAAATTAATTTGAAGACCTAACTGAAATTACTTCACAATTTGAACTTATTAAGTATTAAAAACAGTTCATCGGCAAAGACGACAAAAGCAGTTTAGTTATTAAAATGATCATTTCAAAACATTTTACAAAGCGATTCAGTTTAAACTTTACATTAAATCAAAGCTCACAAAATGCAAAATAACATACCTACAGTGCATAATTCGGAAATTCATTGTTATATGGTTAAAAGCAATAATCTTTCAACTATTTTTGGCGTGTTGTTCAAAAAAATATAAAATTTAAGGTTGTCGTGTTGCCATGACAACACTGACGTAAACGCGAGCCTGCGTTCAGTGTTGATCAATTACTAATACGGTACTTCACGTAAGTCAATGTTTGGCAAATATAGGCGAGGGGTTGCTGCATGCATGTACTTCTGGTGCGATACTAAAACAGTGTGTACCAGTGTGGGTAGTACCAATGTGAAAATGCTGTGCTGAGTGGCTATATTACTACCTTAAAAAACAAGCAGAAACTCGACATTTCGAGGGAAGGGCCTTCGCACGGAACGTCAAGTTTCTGCTTGCTTTTTAAGGTAGTGATATAACCACTAAGCACAGCATATAGTACGATACACTTTATATAGCGCGAGTAATTTAAGCCCTCGCGTACACGCCCTGCTGCTTGTATCTCAGTCGCTCTCGTCCCGCGCGGGCAAAGCGACCGTAATGAAAACTGGCCTATAGTATGCAATGTTGTTCGTTCAGTATAGTCTTGAAGGGACATTTACTTCGTCATGTACGTCACTTGAATCGTCATTTACTTCACCCAGCCCCAGAAATCGCTCAAATTCTGGACAAATGTTGTCCGTATTCTTTTTGCAATCCGTTGTTTGGGAACTAGATAAACTTCTCTTCAGCAGCTCGATTTTACTTTCGTGAATGTACGAGCTAATGTGTGGGCCCACAGATCGGAATAGAACGGACTTGGCTGACACTTTAATAATTATTTGTATTTCATAGTGTTTGAAGTAACTAACCATTTCTTAAATGGAAAGGTCTAATGCCACTGACGTGAGTTCTGTAATCCAGGACTCTTTCTTGTGCTGCAACATATTTGTCATAAAGAACTTCACAGTGCATGTTTACTATTGATACTCTCGCCAACATATGTTCTGAAGCTTCTTTACCAACACCGACAAATTTACAGTCCATCGCAACATGCTTTGTAATTCTAGGATAATGAAGTTTTTATTGTTAAATAAAGTAGTATACTTGCTCTGCTTAACTATTTCTTAAGGTAATTCCGCAGGTTTTGCATTGCGCACTTTTATTATTGCGCACATCTTATAACTTATAATTTCTTCCATTATACGTACCGTTTAAAACAAAATATCATTTTATGACAATTTTATGTTACTTCAAGACATCTTTGGTTACATTCGTGCAAAGAATTACGTTAACATCAATGTTTTCAAAAAAGGCATACAAAAGTGTAGCTAGGGTTCCCTGTCTGTGTCTGTAGTATATTTATCACTTGTATTTCACGTTTTAATGCCACAATTCCATAAAATGTCGGTAATCCCCGTTTTTTAACTGATAATTTATTTCTTTAATGCATTTAAATTTCATATCCGAAATTAAAAGAAAAATCATTTCTGGATCTTGAAAAAAAATGCTTTATCAATGCATGTACTCCAAGAAAGATATGTAAATAAATGTGCAAAAGACATTTATAGATCAGAATTGTACACGTTAGTAGTTTCATTTTGCTCAAAACACAATATTTTTTCAAAAATAATTACAAGATAGGT